GCATCTAGATACGTTGTCCTAGTCATTGGAGTGTACACATTAAAGTGCATACCAAAATACTAAAGTGTTCTTTGGTCTATAGGGCACACTTACGATTCTAGATAGATCAAATATTGTAGAACAAATTTGTTACAGTTTTGTAAACATTCCGAATACCACAACTAAAGTGTATGGAAAAAAACTAAAGTGCTTCTTGGTCCCTCTGATACCTTTACATTCTAGATAACGCTTTTTAGTCCGTGTATTATAGTACTATATTACTATTCAAGCTTGTTATAGTTATTACCAGCATCCGAAATCACATCTAAAGTGCGTAATAAAATATTGAAATATTTTTAGTCTCCTGAGACCCACTTTAGCTCTTAGATATGTATCAACTTTGTTAGTCTTCAAAATCATTTTAACCAATATAACTAAAGTGTGAATCAAGAGACAAATGTTTTTAGTTCCTTGAGACTTATTTTAGCCACTAAATATGTATCCATTCAAGTTCGCTACAGTTATTACAAGCAATTAACGTACTATTGACCAAGTATGTTTCTTAGCATTCTGAATACTATAATTAAAGTGTATATCAAAAGACTAAAATGCTTTTCTCTTTTCTCCTGGACACACTTTAGCTTTAGCAGCTACGTAGCTCTGTATATTACATATCTAGATATGCAATATACTACTAGCCGAACCTGTAACAATTATTACAAGCATTCGACATACCACAACTAAAGTGCATAATAGAAGAAATTTTTTTAGTTCCTCGGGAGCCACTTTAGCTTCTAGATATATAATATATTACAAACCAAGTATGTTACGGTTCTGCAAACATTCTGAATATCGCAACTAAAGTATGTACCTAAGACTAAAGTGTTATTTAGTCCTCCAAAGTACATTTTACCTCCTAGATAGGTAATATCATATTGACCGAGCCTCTCATTGTTTTGTGGATCGGATTCCGAGGAAAATCGCTCTCTCTGTTTTTTTTTGTATACCAGAATGATTCTACAACTAAAGTTTATTATTTAGCTAACAAATAGATTAGTGTCAATTAAGAATTGCCTAAAATCGATTTGTTAGAATTACAACGGCAAGTGAGCCGTCACGACGATGAGGAATTAAACAGTTTATGTACGCGACTGCGTGAGCCAGACAATAAAAACCGTGCTCGGAGGATCCAGACCATACAAATACTGCATTTTATAATTAATAAATTAAAAGATGGGAAAACTAACAGCTGCGTTGCCTGGAAATAAATATTGATAGCGCAATACAAAGCACCCAATACAGATTGATGCTGAAACTTAGGACGCGGTGTTGATGTTTTTTCTGGTAACTACTTAAGTACTAAGCAGATTATATACGAGGGGCCTCGTCGCTTTTGCTGCACGTCGGCCAGTGGTAGGGGTTTCTAAGGAGCGCTAGAAGAGGCCGGTCGGCGTGGAGGAACAATTTCGGCTCGCGTTCACCTGTTTCTTTTAAACCGATTACAAGAGAAAATAAAATCTATTTACCCGGATTTTTGCCGCGTTACAAGCTATCTTGGTGGTTCAATAGCATCTAGGGTGAAAAAAGTTAACCGTAGATTAGAGGAGATCAACCTATATTTTGTAAAATGAGCGGAGAAGTGAAGGGACGATTTTCCTGTCTAAATTTACGATAATTTTCTTATATTTGACATTTAACATTGAAATCTTTGGGAAACTAAATTTTCAGAAATTTTTCAAGCGCTATTGTTCATACTTACTATATCATTCGTCTTTACAAAAAGTATTTTCTCTAACACTAAAGTGTTTTAAAATAATTAATTAATAAGGCTTTTCTCAGCATTCTGAATACCACAACTAGAGAGTGTACTAGGAGATTCAAATGGTTTTTAGTCCCTCGAGGTACATTTTAGCCGCTAGATATGTAACTACCCAGGTTTGTTACATATATTATATTAGGGCTAACACGACTAAAGTGCATACAAAATTAAAATGCTCTAGTTCCTCTTTATCCACCTAGATATGTAATATACTATTGACCAAGTATACAGTTTTCTTAGAATCCTGAATACCATCACTGAAGCGTATACCAAGAGACTAAAATATTTTTTAGTCCCTCGGTATACTCTTTAGCTCTAGCAGCTACGCAGCTCCGTATATTATATATCTAGGTATGTAATATACTACTAGCAAAGCTTGTAATAGTTATAAGCATTCGACATACCACAACTAAAGTGCAAAACAAAAGATTAATATTTTTTCAATCCCTTTAGCTTCTAAATATATTATACACTATAAATCAAAGTGTGTTACAGTTTTGCAAACATTAAAGTGCGTACCGAAGACTAAAGTGTTTTTAGTCCCTCGGGACCCACTCTAGCTTCTAAATATATAATACACTATAAAACGAGTTAGTTACAGTTTTGCAAATATTCTGAATAACACAACTAAAGTGAGAACCGAAATACTAAAGTGTAGTTTTATGTTTCAAAAGAACTAATTAGATTTATATAATAAAGATAATGATAAATAGTGGTTTTGAGGCTTTTCTCGGTATTCTGAATACCATAACTAGAGTGTGCACCAGGGGACTAAAATGTTTTTTAGTCTCTAGATATGTAACTATCCAAGTTTGTTACAGATATTACAAGCATTAGGGCTAACATGACTAAAATTAAAATGCTATAGTTCCTCTTTATCCACTTTAGCACCTAAACATGTAATATACAGTATGTTACAGTTTTATTAGCATTCTGAATACCATCACTGGTATACACTTACCAAAAAACTAAAATGTTTTTTAGTTCATCGGTATACACTTTAGTTTCTTTAGCTACGTAGCTATGTATATTATAGATCTAGATATGTAGCATTCGAAATACCACATCTAAAGTGTATAGCAAAATATTAAAATGTTTTTAGTCCGTCGTGACCCACTTTAGCTTCTAAATATATTATTATACACTGTAAATCAAGTGTGTTACAGTTTTGCAAATATTCTGAATAACAACTAAAGGGAGTACCAAAACACTAAGGTGAAGTTTAATATTTTAAAAGATTAGTCTTTTATAAATAAAGGTAATATCTTCCATCATTACTCTTGCTAGCAACAAATTAGACTTTTATACTCTACTTAAAGAATTAACAATTTTTGGTCTATAGATACAAGATAGATTATATGTTTTGTGTTCTGTATTTCCAGTCCTACAAATAATATCTGCTAGCATATTCCAGTAATAAACTTATAAATAAAATGATTGTTATGCAGGGATATGATGAACAGAAGAACATTAGATAATAAGGACGAAATTGAAAAGTATGAACTGACCGTAAGGGTTGGGAGACCCTTTTTGGGGAAATATAAAGGGACTGTAAATGGATCTCAATATGAAATAATAAATTAATGAAACCAGCGTCGGTAGAAATTCGATACTACGTACGGGGCTGGCCATTAATTATTATATTTTAAAATGCGAGCATATATTCGATAAAATGTTATATTATAGACAAAAGACTGAAGGAAAGAGATTGTCTATAATATTATTGTCAGTTTCAAGGGAATAACCATTTTTGGCAGTTGACAGAAATATCAGCGTAAAGGTTAAAGTACGTGGTAGCTTTTTCGAAGAGCCTGATTGGTCAATTAAAAAAGACTCATTTCTGGTATTTCTGCAAGAAATTTAACCAAGTTAACTTTTCAGCTTCTATTATTGTCTGCCTCTTTTCAATATTTTGCGCCTTTGTCCATACAAATATCGAAATTACACTGTTGATTGTTAACTATTGTGTCCGCTGATTTCTGTCAATCCCTAGATTTTATTAAGTAGTTTGACAGCCGCCGGAATAGTCAGTGTACAAATAAAATATTTGACAGCCTGTCAGATGTCAGATTAGCTTACGGCGGAGCCATTGCGGAGAAATAATGAAGCAAGACAGTTGAACATCGAGAGACGCCTGCTTATTGTATTTTAAAATGTACAAATACATTCTTTGTGACATTATTAAGCCGTTTGACAGTTGTCGGACGTGTTAGCGTAAAAATAACGAATGGCAACCTATCGTGTGTGCGTACGGTGCTGCCACTGCGGACAAACAACGAAGCTGGACGGTTGAACAGCCGACAAGCGTCAGATATGCCTGGAATAAAGAACCATTCACGTGTCGGAGATAATTAAGCTAGAAAAAAATACGCTGTTACATTATTAATCGCCGCGAATGGTATTTCTTTCAATTCCGTCAGACCAGAAAATATTTATCCAATTACTCCTGTACGATTCACGCGGTATATTTATAAATATGTCTCCCCAAACAAAATATAAAAATAGCCCGCCGAACTACTAGATTATCTCGTAGTAAGTGTTTTCGTTTTGTGACTAAGTAGTATTTTTAAGTCCCAACGTTCCAGGCCGCTCGAAAATCACTCTATCATCGACCGAACGGCAACAGAGACCCCCGCTAAAAACAAAAGAATAACAATGAGGGCTCCAAAATCACGCGAAGTCCTTACGCCCGGTTTATCGCTGAAGATAAGGCCGGTGCATTATCGAATATATGTCATGATACTTAGATATACAAAGAAAATGCCCTGATATTAATTGCTGCCTTGATTTTCAATTATTCCTTTTTTGTAGATGGAAACGAACCGAGCGATAGCAATTTTAAAGGAACCTCGCAGATATTATCAGCCGCGGCTACGTCGTTTATCAATCGCGAACAAAAATGTACAGCCAGAACTACGCAGTGCGCAAAGTCGGGGCGTTTCGGTTTGCTCGTTTCCTTACAAAGATACACAATTAAATAAGTTAATTAAATAAATAAGACACTCTCGCGCTTAACCATAGAATTAGAGAAATGGGTTAAATTATTAACAGGTACCTAGGTATTGCAAAGTACTAAAAATGTTGACCCAAATCTCACAGCGATAACACACGTTTTGTCGCTTAGTGTGAAAGGGGCTTTATAATCACCCAAACACGTAGTTTTTGGTAGGATTTATTTAAAAACGGGTACCAATCGACTTACCTCTTTGTCTTTGGTAGCGATTTCTGTTTCGAAACTTTGCCTGTCCATGTTCGATGTGTCCTTGTTTTCGCAGTTGTTCGACGTGTTGTTCGCTGATAGTTGTTCCTTGAGCGTTGTCACTTCTTTTTCCGCAAGTGTTGCTCTCTGCGAAAAATAAAGTCTAATTAATACAATACAGTAACTTTTTTTGTAATAGTCAAAGTCGAAAATAAAAATATAATAATGTCTATTAAGTATCTCTGAAGATGTTCGATTTAAATTGATGAAACTTGGAATAGCGTTCCATTTTATTTAACTTTTGTTAACAACCGAAAAAAATAGAAAAAACTGTTTTTTCCTTTTTTCCGAAATAAAAAATTGGAAAAATGAAGAAACCTGAAATAAAAACACTCTTATTGAAAATAACAAAAAGGTACGCAATCTTAATTTCTCACGAGTAAACAACAAAAAGAAACAAAATTTCGATTAACGACACTTAAAGTAGTTGCTAATCAAATATCAACATAAAAGCAAACTGAAGAATAGAACTTAAAAAAAAATATTCTTTTGCAAATGCACATAAAAGATCAAATCTTGTGATTTTTTAGCTTCAAAAAGCGGAAATTAAAACGATTTCTAAAAGTTAATTTTTATATTACATTATTTTATTGGTTGACTTGTAAAGATATCTTAGATTTTAACGAAAATTTACTTATTTTGTTTTTGTTTCAGTTTTTCTGAGAAAAAAATCGGTTTTCATCCGACACCCAATTGTTCCGAAAATTTTGGACCTCTAGCCAGTAGTATTGACAATTAAGATATGACATACTTTGTAGGTTGTATGTACAGGGCGTTTCATAACTCTACCGACACAGAACATGCAAGTGTTAAAATATGCCGATTTGATAAGTAATATTTTTTTCTGGAATGTATCGTTGAAGAGATTGGCTTCTGAAGATGAGTGTTAAATTTTGGAAAACAATAATATTTCAGCAATGCCTTAACATAGAGCAACCAAATTTGGAACATGACTTGCGTTTATTGTTATCTTTAATTGGTAAAAATATGAGTTTGTTGGAAGCTCAATAAGGGCCTGACTAGGGGCAGGGCGCTCTTAAAATGATGATTTCTTTTATTACAGGAAATTTAATTTAAAAAATTTTTTTATTCTTACAATATTTTCGTAAAAATAACGGTTTTTGAGATAACAGGGACTTTGTAAAACAGCCTCATTACTAACTGAATCGGACAAAAAATAAAGTATGCAGTTTTACGACTAGTAGGCTATGATTTCATGTGTCATATTTGACGTTTACAAAAAAGTATCAAGAAAAAACAATTTCATTAAATTAGATTCTTTATTTAGTTTTTAACATATTAAACAAAGAGGAACCTTACAAACAAAACCTTAACAAATTCAACTTTAACCGCATGAACTACCGATATCGTTAAATAGCACTACAATAACTATTGAAAATGGTCACTATTTTCTCCAATACATAAATTGTGGATTATTTTTTATGGGGTTGCATTTATTATTTATACGATTCCATAAATATGCTTCAGATACAACCGGTGTAAAATAAACAAATTCCTTTAAAGCCCCCTCAGAGAAAGAAAATACATCTATTCAGATATGGTGAACTTGGTGGCCAGTTTTCTGGACCATTGTTTCCTCGTCCTATCCATCTATTCGGGAACTGCTGCTTCAAGATGTGTCGTACATTAGCACTAAAATGCGGTGGAGCACCGTCGTGCAACAATGAGAATTAAATAAAATTAATAGAAATTGTCATTCTTATACAGTGTGTCCAATATAAGGATGGGATAGCATTAGGATATAGGAAACAGCAAATTAAAAAAAAACCGGGGTTTTTTATACCTAACAATATGCCGTTTAGAAAGTTTTAAAATTCCGGGTAGTTCCGGAGATATCCGGAAAAACCCGAAATTTTGCAAAATCGTTTAATTTTTTCTGGCTTTAAAAACGAAATTTAAAATAAATTGTATATTTGCAGTGCCACTTTTTTCTCTCTATCCAACGGCGTCAATATTTTTGCAATCCGACGTTTCGTCTTCGAGGGGCCATCATCAGGTTAATTTTTTCAAATACGTCGCTGCTATTTTTGTAACAAATTCTAGTCATTTCTAATTCTGAATTAGATGATATTATTATTGTAATCGCTTAAGAAGGTTTTTAGCTTGTTTTAGCTATCACTTAAAATTTTTCCTGAGTACAGCTCTGAACGCTTTCGAAATATCTATTGCAGGAAGTCACAACAGTATAAAAGTCAATAAAGCACATAATATCCAACAATTTTTTTTGATCAATAATTTAAAAAAAGTTGTACCTAATAAAAAAATAATACGAATTTATGAAATGTTTTATTATTTCTAATTAGTATTGCTAATAGTAGTAGCTGTATTGACTTTTCAATTGTTATGACTTACTTCAATAGATATTTTGAAAGCGTTCAGAGCCGTACTCGGGAATAATTTTACATGATAGCTAAAACAAGCTAAAAATTTTTTAAGCGATTACAATAGTAATATCATCTAATTCAGAATTAAAAATGACTAGACTTTATTATAGAAATAGCAGCGATGTATTTAAAAAAATTTACCTGATGATGATTCCTCGAAGAAGAAACGTCGGATTGCAAAAAAGTCGACGTCATTGGATAGAGCGAAAAAAGTGCCAATGTAAATATGCAATTTATTTTAAAATTCGTTTTTAAATAAAGCCAGAAAAAAATAAAACAATTTTGCAAAATTTCGGGTTCTTCCGGATTTCTCCGGAACTACCTGGAATTTTAAAACATTCTAAACGGCATATTGTTAGGTATGAAAAAACACAACTTTTTTCTAATTTGTTTGTTCAAAGAACGAATTTTGCGTTTAATTTGGTACATTATTAGCCCAAATTTTACAAAGTTACGAATCACAAGAAATTTTTTAATAAATAAGATTTTTTTTTTATTTAAACGTAATGTAGGTATCTAGTTTTTTTATAAGAAATAATCCAACAGTCTTCTAAAGTTAAGACACGGACTTAGAAATCACCCCGTACAAACTCGAAAGAAAATTTAAGGAAAATGCAAAATATGTTTTTTAAAGTAGTTTGAAAATTTAAAAATGATTAGTCTTTATTTTTAATGAATTTGTTATAACAAAAGATTAGTTTAAATATTTTAATATAGTTATTATGTGGTTTTCATGATAAAAAATATATAAGCAGTTAATTCTTTATATGTTGATGAGTGATATTCTTTTAGGATGTACCTACATACATTTTTTTCAAGTTTGCATCAATAAATTTTTAAACTAATAAAACAGCGCCGCCATCTCAAAGTTTCCATCGGCAGGGGCGATAAACAAGAAAGTTTTTAATAAAGATAGTGCTGTTATTTTTTACGATATGTTATAATAAATAGGGCGAGGGCGTCGGAATCCCATGAAAATTTGAATAACTGATTACCCCTATTTCCCATTTTCCTCTCCCGCGAATATATAAGAAGATCATTATTATTACGGGGTATCAGACCCGTAAAACAGTGTCTAGAGTTTGAATTAAAAATCAAAATATATTGCCCCGGCATATATCCCTTACTTCGGGTTTAATAATAAACTCACTTATCCAGCGGCGTGCCCGATTTATTTCCAAACTCTTATAAAGGACCCCGTAAATGTGCAAAATAATATTTTTTCTAACTAGCATATATTTTATTGTTTATTTTATTATTATTACCATTGCAATATACAGGGTGTCCCGAAATTCATGCAACAAAATTTGGTCACAGATTCTTAGGACAAATTTAGGGGACCCGTATTTTTTCTTTTTGCCAACTGGCCCCCTCTTTCGGAGTTACAGCCCCCTGAAATATGCCCCTAAAAAGTCTTTTTTATATCTCAAAACCTTGTTGTACGAGAATCACTAAATTTGGTACACAGGGGTTTTATGACATGTGGAATCTCACAGTGCTACGCTTTTTGACGAGAATCCCCCTTAAGACACTTTTTCGTGGGCCCCCTTGTCTTTGGAACCAGAAAAATTTGGTCGCAAATTAGATTTTTTTTAAAATTATTAGTTAGCTAGAAAGACATTGAATTTAGAAACTTTTTTGTCTCTTGATATTTGTTTCGTAAAACGCAATGTTTTTGAGGAAAATGGCGAATCACGATATGCATTCGATCACATTTTGACATTTTTCTCGAAAACATTGCCTTTTACGAAAAAAGTATAAAGGGACAAAAAGTTTCTAAATTTAATGGCTTTCTAGTGGACTGATAGTTTTTAAGAAATTTAAACATGCGACGAAATTTTTTTGGCTCCAAATACCAGGGGGCCCACGAAAAATTGTCTTAAGGGGGTTCCCCGCCAAAAAACGTTGCACCATCAGATTCCACATGTCATAAAACCCCTGTGTACCAAATTTAGTGATTCTCTTACAATAGGGTTCTGAGATATAAAAAAAAGATTATTCTTAGAGGCGGACGGGTCCCCTAAAGTCCTAAGAATCTGTGACCAAATTTTGTTGCATGAATTTCGGGACACCCTGTATGGTTGGTTACAAACACAAAAATATAGATCCGTTTTCAAAAAAAAATTAATGTTTAATATTTTTAACTTAGTATTATACTTAAAATAGATTTTACAGGTCCTAACGGGAATATTTTTTTTCACTTGTCACATCAGAAAAGTCTCTTTTTTATTTAATAAATGTAAGTAACCTTAGCTGATTTCCTAGATAATGAGAAATAACATTACAGACATTTAATACTTAAGCCAAAAATTGAAATCTAGTTGTTTAAAATTTAAAAAAATTGGAAAAATATGGAGTATGAGCTTATTCACTAGGATTTATATAATTTTTTTGCCATTGGTTCTTATATTTTTCAATATACTATATGAAATAGTAGGAAAGTATATATAGATTTTTCTGATGTGACAAATGGGGAAACTGTTCCCCTTAAACCTGATAATTTTAATCCTGCAATGTCTACAAAATACTAGCTCCAACAATCCTCACTGTAAAAATAATACTGAAGAATTGTATGAACAGAATTTCATTGTCAATTTGAAAGTTAAGAACAGTGGGACAAAAAAAAGTTTCTTACTACAGTCAGTATGCTAAATGAAAGTCGAAAAAACATACAAAAATAAA